TGAGTCAGGGTCTCACTCTGTCAACCAGGCTGGAGTGCAGTGGCACAATCATAGCTTACTGCAGCCACGACTTCCTGAACTTAGGCAATCCTTCTGCCTCAACCTACCAAGAAGCTGAGAGTATAGGTGCCAACACACCCAACTAATTAAAAAAAAATTTTTTTTTTTGTAGAGACAAGATTGTCCAGGCTGGCTTCAATCTCCTGGGCTCAAGCAATCCTCTTGCTTCAGTGTCCCAAATTGCTGGGATTACACACAGCCTGACTTCAACTTTTTATGAGGAAAGAATTGATGTTCTTCTCTTCCTCATTTCTGAAACATCTCATCCCTGTAACATTCTTCAACCTGCCTATCCCAATGTCAAGAGCAACCATCTGTGACTCCAGTGGAGACTAGCTCTAAGGCATACACATCTAGTAACTCTCTGTCTCTTCCCTAAAGGATGGATCACAGATCTAAGAAACCAAAGTAGTTCCGGAGCCCCCAGGACCCCATTCACTCTCTCCAGACACATGTGACAAGAGGCATTCACATGAGCAGCCCTCTTGCATGGGTATGACCCTTTCCTCCTCACTCCCAAATGTGTAATGAAATGAGAAAGAGTCAGAGGACATTTGGGGATGGATAGCCTCAAATCCATTCCAAATGATTAAAATAGAAAGAGAAGAAATTATTACTCATTGTTGGACCTTTGGTCTTTATTAGTAACACATTATTTGGGACCTGTGTCTGGATAGTGTTGAGGGACATGCTCTAGCCTGCATATCATCCATGCCAACTACAGAGACCCTGAACAGCAGATGCCTTCTCTAAGACTGCTCCCGTAATTAGGGAGTTCTAGTTCAAGTTAATTAAGACATTGCTCTGGCTGGTCCAGAGAGCTTCTGGTCATTCAGTTTAACAAATATTTATAGGCCACTATATTTTCATCAGTGCGCCTTGGAGATCTGGGTTCCTTATTTGGTCCCATAGTGGGAAAACAGGCACCCTTGTTTTCGGATGACATCTGAGTTCTGCATGGCCACAGATGATATTTCTTGACATTGTAATCGACAAATTGGGGAGTGTTGAAGTCTGGGCTGAAGCATTTCAGACAAGTGGAGTAGGGAAGAGTGCCCATCACTTCTCTGTAGCATACAGGCTGCAGCCTGGGACACTTCTTTGCACTGGGATAATGTGATGAATGTGATACCATGGTTTCCCAGCAAATGCACTAAACATAAGATGCAAGCCTGTTCTCAATGCCTTGCGGGTGGCTTCAGTGACATCACTTCTACAGAGAGGAGTTGTGGTTGCAGGGGTGACTCAGGGTTGGGTGTTGTCACAGCAGATGGCCAAGGGGCTGACAGAACCTGGGATGCTAGTTAGGGACACACTGAAGTGGGCAGCCCTGGAGTTCAGACAGGCCAATATGTTCAAGGACTCTGATGGAGCTAATGACCAGGTGGCCAGTCAAGCAATGGGAAGTCCCAGAGAGGACAAAGAGTGTGTCCCCTGAAGGAGGGAGAAGGGAGCTGGAGACAGAAGAGGGATTTCCCAAACTCAAGATCCGTTTGAGGAGTAGGATTGCATGAGGATGAGGAATCTGTAAATGGAGGGGACGATCAATGGGTTTGAAGAGGGTGACGTCAGCCCTGGCCCTGCCAGGGTTGAGAGAGAATAAGGGACACACTCTTTTCTATACATGAGTTTCCCCAAACCCATAAAGTCAGAGAGTTTGAATTGCGCAGGCACTTGCTAAAGAGTCCAAGGGGCAGAGCACTCACTACTGGCTACTCACCCTGGGAAAGAGGGTCTGGGGTCTGGGGTTGTTGTAAGAGGTGGAAACCTGAGCGTTGCACAGTGCTACAAGTTTTAATGGACTTTTCAACAGTCACATGCACTTGGAGTTGGGCTGA